CCTCATTTCCATTCATATAAATAAATATTGTTTACTGAAAAATTGACATCTGCCCTTGTTAGGCACTGCCCCGAAAATAAGAGCAAAAAATATTGAATATTGCTAGCGAGGAATAAGTGGTGTACTCCTAAATGAATACAGTGAATACTGTATATTCTCTTGAAATATGCCACCTCAACTCCTGTACTACACTTTCTGCCTGTCAGAGCAACAAATTATTCATAGGCAGGATCCATATCGACTTGTCTGTTTATCCCTGATATTTTAACAATACTGTTTCTCATGTGCATTGTGTGCAGTAATTAAATCAAGATTGAGTAGGGATTTTAATTTGGGGTTGCGGACACCTGTCGTTGTTTACCAGATCAAACATTTATTCTATTTCCACATGATTTTATAAACCAAATTTTTAAACAATGCCCTGACAGTCCAAGTGTCCTCGATATTCGAAAATGTCCAAGAAGTTCCGATCCGTACCGCACACGCCAAGGATTAGAATTTTTAACTTATTTTTATGAACGAAAGCTAATATACATGTATGAAAAATGTACGATGGCAATTCAAACAAAAGGATTATGTAATGCCTAAAGGTATTGGTAAACACTAACGAATGCAATTGCCCGTGTTCATTACGTAATGCCCAAAGGTATTGGTAAACACTAATGAATGCAATTATCCCGTGTTCACTCGTAAGCGACCAGTTTTCCAAAATACCAACAGTTTCTATGTTAAATCACTATATTTCAAAGCTATTATGCATGACTACCTCCAATAGTGACCGTGACCACTTTTAGAGCTTAAGGTTTAAAACCTTGTAATTTTAACCTCCTGTAAGAGACCACTTGACAGAAAACAGAGAAAAAATTGGGATAATGAGATGTTATTCTGNCCGTGACCACTTTTAGAGCTTAAGGTTTAAAACCTTGTAATTTTAACCTCCTGTAAGAGACCACTTGACAGAAAACAGAGAAAAAATTGGGATAATGAGATGTTATTCTGATCAACCTTTATATATACTGTACATGTAGGTAGTTTATCGGAGGCGAACCATGATACTCTGAATAAATACATGTACTTTGGAAAGATTAGATATTTTTGTGGCTACTAAAATTACAAGGATTTAGATGAGCATTGGCGCATGGGGTACATGTAAGTCCTTACTGTTACCATAAGCTAATGAGGCAAAATGTTGATCCAATATGGTCTAAGTTCTCATAAGTGACCACCTCCTGTAAGCAACCACCTGGGCTTCAAATTTTGGATAGTCCCTTACGGGAGGTTCAACTGTATGTCAAGTTAGCAAATGCAGTCGAACCCATATTATGCAGCCACCTATTAAATGCCCACCCCTATTAGGTGGCCAGTTATCAAAGTCTTCATGAGGGTTTTTCTATTGTTTTTCCCTCTATTGAGTGGTCAGCCCCCTTTTAAGTAAAAACCATCCATTTCCCAGAGGTTGGCTGTTTTGTAGGGGTTGAAATGTACGTCTGTTCAGTAATTACAAAGAACAAAAAAGTGACACAATGCGATAGCCGAGTGTGTCACTGATGTTCTTACCACATTAATATTTTTGTCATGTCTTGTTTGATCAATTACTGAACAGATGCATGGCAACATGGAATCTATCTGTTTTATATAATAAAGAAACCAAAAAAATGTTGATTGTGTCATCTGTTCAATGTAGGTCTATCCTTACTAATTGATCGAACAAATCAATTCGAATTTGAGAATAATTTGAAAGATGATCTGTGAGGTCACTTAATAATTGAATGGCTTAGTGCAAGACTGACGTAAGTGACTTTTTCGGGTGAAAAATGATTTTTTCGTTCAAAAGCGCCCAAATTTTTGCATGTGGTCTCC